TTTTCGAAATTCAATTGTCACATGTAAATGGTGAAATCTAGATTGAAAAAATATGAGCATTGCTTCACGAAACTTTCAGACTATTGCAAACATCAAAGTGTCATTCTATTTCATTTCCACTTGCACCGAAAATATCACAAGACACCGTAGAGGCATTTTAACACTAATCAAGAAAAAGTATTATCGCCTCTCAGCCCTCTTGGTTCTATGCCATGTCACGTTAGAACTCGATATTTTGTTGCAGTTCTTCCTGATGATCGCATCCCACGATGTTTCGCTTTTCGTGCTTGTTTGACATGGTGGCTATCATTCACTCGATGAAAATGGTCTAGCCATCTCAAAGGCATTGCATACAACCAATCAGTAAGCTTGTCTCCCTAATCGAGTTTCTTATTTTAGACCGCATTTGGTCCCAGACAGTACCACTTCATCCCTAATATTGATTCAATAATATTTATTTCCATGGCTTCCAGTTTACTGTTATCAGCTTTATCATTATAAATAAATCTAACATTTTCATAAACATGACACACCGTTCACATTCCTGTCAGAGGAATGGATCCATCCGCACGTTTCGATCGGTGTCAAAGAATTCGATGGTTTGGTTCTCAGGTTCATTTCGCAAACCCGACACTAAACTACAATTGAAACCAGAATTTTTGGACACCATGGAAGCTTTATTACTTTATAGCTGCATAAAAAATGCCATTGTTTTCTCAGAGTTCGTTCGTTGAACAAAACGGCGAAAGAGCAATGATGTTATTTAATCTACAATATGTATTTGCTGTCGCGATCTTTGAAGTACATGGTTCAAATGTCAGAAAGGTTAGATAAAGCTTACGCGATTTCATCAAGCCCTTCAACCAACATTGATATAGAGATTAGAATATTCTGCTCATTGTAAATTTTCTCACCGCCATAAGTCATTAGAAAAGCTGTCAGCTCCTGAATACCATTGTCTGATTAGTTGCCCATGTTGGGTTTATGACATTTCTTTATAGCTGCCATACGACTGAAGAAAAACGTTAATTATGCCTCTCTCTTGCGGGCAATTTTTTATTTATGCCGTTTTTGCTCCCTAAAATTCGATGCAAAAATGTAACTTTTTTTAAAAGTTTTTTTTCTCTCGATTGTCTCCTTTGCTCAGATTTCGAACTTTCAGCCGTATTTAATGTAAATTCAGATCCCGGAACTTGAGCCGAACCTCTTAGCAGTGTTTCCACCGGTAAGTCGCCATTTCTTCTCATAAAACGACCAAAATGTTGTTGTTGCTTTATTGTACTAGTTCGGAAATACAAGTTAGATGCACAGTCTTTCAGAAACGATCATTTGTTTTCAGCTTTATTAAGGAAATTGTAACAGTAATCTATAGCACGGAAACGAAAGTGGAAAGTTTGTAACCGTTGGAATTTCAGCCTACCTAAAATTTCGATGATGTGTCCGTTTCTGACCTTCTATTCATATCCATAATACCACATCTTGAAAGCTTCAATAAAAATAAATTTAGAATCTGCTTCCCATGTCCATATTTTGCGACCAGCCAGAGTTTAGGTTTGTTAAGTTTCCGAAAACATATATCATATTCTGGTGAGGTTTTGTGAGAACTGTTCGTGGGTTTTAACGAATTCACGTGATTGTTCATGCAGTCAACATTTTCTTCAAGCTCTTAACCGGTGCTGGAAGGAGGTAACTTGGCGCAGCTGAACATCATCGGTTGTGATTAAAGTTGGGTGTATTCCAGAAGTTTTAGTGTTCAGCAAAGAAAATTACCAAAGAAACAAAAGAAAGTAAAAGAAACAATAATTTCAACAATAAAACATTTTCATTTCTGAGCACTGACGAAGCTTTAGACCTGACCAAGTTAAACCTGAGACCAATTGGTTTGTTCTATTTATAAATCAGAATTGCGACGAGGAGTTTCGACTCTGTTTGAAATGCTGCTATTGACGCTATATCATTTAATGACCATAGCTGTAAGTCACGGAAGAAGAACTACAGCATGAACCAGCCTTAATCGTCAAAAGACATAGCTACTTGACAATGAGTTGAACATACGGGAAACGAGACAATTCACAAATTTTCCTAACCTACCGGGCATTATCCACAGTGCTGAATATCGGTCTTCTACTAATGCTGAGGAGAGTAAACCGACGGTCATGAAATGAGCGATGAAGCAGATTAACAGACATGATTTTTGTCTTTCTTGAGATCAGGAGAAGATGGCCGACTTGTGGCTGCCTGAAGGACAAGTGATGGATATGAGGAATTACCGGGTTCCGCAGTACCACCGGCATCCACTCGATCGTCCAAAAACACGCTGGAACGATATGGTGCTCAGGTTACTCGGTCAGACGTGTAGACAGTGTGAAGAACAGAGAATACCGGAGGAGTATCAACCTGTGTTCATAGCTCTTTCGTGATGAATACGACAATGTGGGACAACGAATAGATAATAGGTAATGTTGTTCTTCATCGTGATTATCTTTAAGGCATTTACTCCGCAAATACATGGGGCCACGGTGGCATGCACTGCACAAAAAACGAAAATCTGTTCTCCAAATACCCCGTCTATACGCAGAATGGAGGGGGCCTGAGTAAGAACATGTTTAACGGTTGAAACCCTGGAGGTAGCGAAATCCAGTCAAAACATCAGCAACAAAGCGCGTCATCAACAAAAAGATGTTTCGTTCCATGGCACACATGATTTTGTCGAAGAAGCGAAAACGAGTTCACAAAACCTCTGCCATACTCAAACGAAAATATGATCTGTAAATGGTGACAAGTGACTGGCAAACATGAAAGGGAGAGTAGTGACGTCAACGCTGGACAACTGTAGGTGTCCCAAGCGGCGTCTGTCAACAGGTTGACGTCGAGCCGGCACTTGAAAATGCAGCACACAATCACGCTGTCAACGTTCCAGGAGACTCGCAAACACCGGGCCCTTCAACGGTTGTTCAATCGCCCTCGTTTACTCACCGGCATCCGGTTAAAAATGACAACGAACTCTATTTCGCACCGCTTTAGTACGTACCCCCTGAGACAGAACGCGTACGGCCGTAGCCGTAGCTGAACGATCGATCGGTCCTGAGGGAATCGTCGTTTCATTGGCTGAAGATTAACAAAAATAACCGTGAAATATAAGCGATGGTCGTCGTCGAATCGCTCAATTCAGGGAATGTTATTTTGACGAACCGGTCAACGTTTTTGAGCATCAAGTTTCGGTGACACGATGAGGATGGACACCCTGCAGCTGGTTTTCCTGCTCTTCACCTGCTCCTGCTTGCTTGTCGAAGCAGCGCTATCCAGTAAGCATAAAACGACCTGATGGCTACTTTTGTTACCTGTAGAATCGTGCTAAATCCGAGCACCTTATGAGGTACTACCGGAGCATCGATAGAGTCAGTTTCCCGGCTGTCTATAGCACGGACTCAGAAGCGGTGAAATGAGGAGCCTACCGCAATTTTCAGTTTTACTAGTTAGAGACGTGTGATTTAGTCTGATGTTGTTACTTGTACCTTTTGTGAAAATCTATCCGATCGCTTGGTCGATTTGCAGGTGTAAAATTTGTTGGAAAACTGAGCCCTTCTTCTGCTGTGTGACGCACCCATTCCATTATGCTC